GAATCGACAAAGTGAATAGGAAAACTAATTTCACTATGTAATTCATTGATTCGAGTGTCGAACAATAGTCGTTCAATTATCCTTTTTGGCCGTAGCACATATAGCGCATTCACCTGCATAGGAAAGCATCGCTACAAAAAGATATATGACGCAAGTAAAGCATACAAATAAGCTTTTAATAGTGTCTTTTACAGAAGATAATGTGCTTTGCCTTCCATCCAGGAGTAGCATGCATCCTGAAGCAGAACAAAAATTCCTAAAAATTCAAATGCCAAGAATTCTTACGATTGAATAAAAGAGATATAGTTGAGTATTGCTGAAAAATCGCTATCGGAAAGAGTCCTAATGTTTTCGCGAAAGATAATTACAGGTCTGAATTCCCTATCATGTCCACCTTAATATATGAGTAAATTAGACCAAGCTACCTGTAATAAGGATGTATTTTTTTCTGAGGACGTCTATATACTCTCTAGTCGGCGATTTCAATCCATTAATCTGCATTGTACATGTCTGTAATGACAGAACAAAGTATAATAGCAAAGCTCGCTTAACTCAAGCGGTTGAACGTAAATAAAACTCAAAGCACAAAAAATTATTATATATATATGTATAATAAAATTAAATAAAATATTAAAAATAATTAATTAATTAGTAATATAATAAATTTATAATTTATAGAGAAACATTTTAAAATTATTACAAATATAAAAGTTAAACAGTTGTTTATCTATTTACATGTGCACATTTTGATCCTGCGCAATACACTCTTCGCTTTCATATGAATCATTCCTCTTTTTATGGACTGGCGACCTTTTATTTATGGTGGAACCGCCTCTGTGGTTGCAGAATCATGTAAGAAATATTTTATTCATTTTTCTATTTAAGGCACTTTTCCTATAGACACGACAAAAACTCGTCTTCAAGTTCAAGGTGAAATAACGGGTAATGCCGTAGCTAAATTTAAGGGTGGAACTTATCGTGGAATGTTTCATGCTTTTCACATGATATCAAAATATGAAGGAGTCATGACATTATACAAGGGGTATTTTTTTTATATTTCACCAATAGTTTGAGTGCAGCAATTTTAAGACAGACGGTTTATGGTACCATCAAGATAGGGCTTTACAATCGATTTAAGCGTTATTTTTTTAGTAACCCTTTAGGTAGTTTATTTTTTTAACTTCTTTAGACGAGGTTCTTGGTATTAACGTTTTATGTGCTATGACGGCGGCCGTCATATCAAGCGCAATTGCAAGCCCTACTGATTTATTAAAAGTAGGTTTACATTTAGTACGCTCGTTTATTAATGTGATTTAGATTCGCATGCAGGCTCATTCTGGTTCAGAAAATACTACTTTTCTCACTTCTGCCAGGGAATTAATTGCAAAGGAAGGTATTACTGCACTCTATAAGGTAGACGTATCGCTGAATAAGCGTCGTATATTTATATGCATTATTATTCATCGTTTATAAGAAAGTTGATCTGTAGGGTGTTCTTACTACTGCCACTCGATCTGCTATCGTTTGTGGTGTTGAACTACCAATTTATGATTTCATCAAAAAACACTCTATTTTATCAGGACTTCTTGATGACAACAAATTATGCCATTTCTTGTAAGTATATAGTATATAATTATAATTTTATTTATTACAATAAGTTACTTTAATTTTTTTTAGCTCTAGCTTTTCAGCTGGGCTAATGGGTGCCATTGCTTCAAATCCAATAGATGTTGCAAGAGTGAGTTTAATT